GGGGGGTGGGGGGGGTGGGGAAATGCAGCAAGGGTGGAAGAGATGAACATTATGTTTCAAACCCAAACTCTCATCCTCCTGTTAATACTCTGGAGCAGGTTAGCTGCTGTGCAGTTTAAAACACAGATTTTAAAACATGCCCTTGGGGGAGAGTGAGGGTAACATGCATTAATTTGCAGGTCTTTGCTACAGGTAGTATAATAATTGCTCTTTTTTAAACCAAGATCCTAGTGCTTGTACTTCTGTTACCTTTATTAGGAAATAGGAGCTAAAGAGGTCTTTTAATATAGGTTTTCACTAGGAATATTTCTCACTTGATGCTCCCCCTTTAAAGGGCCGTCATTTTCCATCTTGAGTTTTAAAGTGAATGGATTCAGTGGTGCAAGATTGTCTCTCTCAACTCTTTTGTATTTGGCCACTGCTGCATTGTTTGGGAAGAAGATCCTTTGTTTAAAGTGTGTGTATTGACTTCTTGCATGAGGAAAAATTTTGGGTTTTTTTAAGATGAAAAATACTATATTAAATGCTTGACAGCTTACTGGGACCTACATAATTTTTCAAGATGCCTTTGAAAGAATCTTCACTCTTCAGAGTTAGCATTCATAGCAATGTTGGGATGTCTACAGATCAGATCTATCCAAGTTCCTTTTGAAAAGTGTTTTAACATTGTCAGACATACAGTCAAAGAGGCAGCCTGTCCAGATCCTCCCCATGCTGTTCTATGTCCCTTCGAGACTCACTGCTGGCAGTCACTGCATCAGTGGAGAGACTGGAGATGAGTGGAGAGTATCCCACTGTGACACATGGGGAATCATTAGGAGATTTCCTAATTGTGTTTCAAATTACTTACAAACTTCAAATAATGCTGGCGTGCAAGCAGTCAGTGGGGGGGTGTCTGTATGGAATTAATTTAATGAAACTTAATGAATGCTGTGGAAATCACTAATTGGTTTTGCTAGTCCAAGTAAACCAAACCTGGCTTCTTCCCTGAACTGCTGTTGTCTGATACTTTTTGTTTGTATCCTATTTCCCTTAATCAAAATACTCCTTTTTGGCAGGTTATTCTCCTTATGGGTTCACTTCAGTTATGGGAATTTCCTCCTTAATTTAAGTATCTCCTATCTTCTTCCCCCACACCCCCCCTGCCAAGATTGTGCTTCTTGAAAGCTAACACAAACTTCAAGTGCAGTATTAGAATATAAGGAAATGCAGTTTGTCAGATGGTTTCAGTGCTATATATCATGCTGTAGAAAAACATCAATATATTTTTTGACTGCTATATGAATGATTTGGGTGAAGATAGAAAGGGCTAGGTACAACTTGAACAAAATGTACATGGTTAGGAAAAGCAAAGATGCTTTGCATGCATTACTGTCTGTTGCTGTCTTTTTACTTACCATTCATTCTACTTGAGCAAACAATACTTCTCTTCCCTGCTCCCACCCATGTGTGGGTACTCTGTAGAAGTAAGTACGTGTCTGCCTCTGCAGTCCAGCTTCTCCTGACGATATGACATCTTGCCAAGGGTTTACCTTCAGGTTTAAAACTAATCAAGGAATCCAGAAGAACGGAGTACTTTGAGTTCCTGGATTTTGAAAGGAATATAAAGAGAGAGGGAAAGAAAGGAGAAATAAGCGTAATTGTCTGTGCTCTTTTAAAGCAGAGTGATGTTGCACTCAAAGCATTTATGTCTATTTAATCTTGTTCCTCTGAGGGTAAACACATTACCACTAAACTTGCAGGAGTCTTAATTTTAGTGGATAGTCCATTAGCCTTTGCCTGAATTTAGATTATTGCAAGGATTTAAAAAAAAAACAAAACAAAACATGAAAACTATGGTTGATTTAAACTTCAGTAATGGGCACTTTCAGATCAATGTTTGGATGGTACATTGGATGAAAAGGTGGTAAGTGCATCAGCCTTGTTATAGCAGAGGCTAGGATTAACAAGGAAGAGATTGGTTGTTTGTTTTTAAAAAAGGGGGGAGGGTGGCCACAACCAATGGGGCGTGTCCACACTATGTCTGTTACAGTTCAGGGTCATACTTGCAGCTCCCCGAGGTATAGAGGGGCCAGGAATCTACTTTGATTCATCTGTGGACAGTCTGAAAACTCATGAGTAAGGCAGTCCCTGAACATCAGAGCTACCAGAGGAGGTTATTGAGCAAAACCTAATTCCAAGTTTCTCAGAGCAGAGAGAAGGAGCTTCAGAAAAAAAGAGAAAAATGCTTATCAATGAGGCTATTAAACTAGGGCTTAGCCACTTACCTCTATACTGCTTTCTCCTTACTTACAAAACAAATCACTTTTATGTGAAAGAGACTCCTGTGCAAATGCCAAAACCAAGGGATTAAATGGTGAAAAGGGGCAGGAGGGCTTACTACCTCTCTGCCAGCTGGGAACTCTGCCAGCTTGACTTGGAACATACTTCTGAGTAGGTTTAAAATCTATCTGTCAATGAGGGGAGCGTGGTTTTTCCAGAGCTTAAACTTCAGCTGTCATTAACGCAGTAAGAGCTGGCAGTACTACTCATCACAGAGCCACCCTCTGAGCTGGTAGACAGTGAAGATGCAGATATGGTGCTTCTGGTCCCCACTGTCCTCAAGTGCTGGCATGACCCTTCCCTGTAGAAGGAGATGAAAGCAGGAAGGGCAGCTGCCTGTGCTGGGAGGAAGGTGTTTGGAAAGGCGGAGTTGAGAATCTGAGTGCAAGAATTTCCTATTAACCCCGCCAGGATTTCAAAAGACTGGTGCTGGCACCATCTAATGGATGCTGAGGTGCTGTGACTTGCTGTTCTTCAGAACTGATATTTGTGTAGGTTTTCTTGGCTGCTGTTTCTCAGTAAGTGTTGATACATTTTGAAAGCAAGTTGTTTCTTCTTGTCAGGGACCTTAAACTAAGTGTTTTGAGTCTTGGGGTTTATAATAACAAACCAGCAAATGCAGGGAACTGATGAGAGAGGAGAGAAGGAGCTTGAGGAGAAAAGTGGATATTTTCAGGCCTGTTGAGTTTTTTGCAATACCAGAAG